GTTAACCATTTGAACTCCCTTTTGTCATTAGCATATTTCCATAGTCCGCTCTTCTCCTTTTGCAACCATTTGATAGCCACTCTTGAGTCTCCTTCAACAATTAACATTTGTAGATTCAATTCCTTAGCTTTCTTTGACCCTTTCAATAGTTTTCCATAACCTCAGCTCTAAGAGAATCATCCACCCCAATAGGACCAGAATACAACGCTATAATGTTACCTTCCTTATCTCTGAAAGTTCCTCAAATACCGAAGGCCCCGGATTACATTCACTATTCCCATCAAAGTTTAATTTCATAAATCCAGAAGCTAGTGTAGACCAAAGGGGGCTAGTTATCATTTGGACTGGTGCTGAATTGCCTACTTCCTTCCAATTTCTAACCAACATATCTGTAGTGATATCTTCAAACAGCTCTAGTGATTTTACCCACTGCACCACTCTTATAGTTATTGCTTCAATTACAACCTCTTTACTCCTTTGCTTTTCAGAAAAAATCGGTGAGTTCCATTCTTCCCAAATTGTCCAACAAATGGCAGCTTGTACACATCTCCACATTACTCTACCTCTCTTCTTTGACCACCTAACGAAGTAAGAAGCAAACAAACCTTGTATACTTGGTGGGGCATCTGCAACTAAGCAAGGAGAAGAACCAATCCCGAATAACAGAAACAAAGGGGTAGGATGTAATTTTCAATGACTTGAATTCTTGAAATCCATATACCATCATTTCCACTATTAAATCCCCATTTTCACTTCCTGTTTATGTGTATAATGGAGATGGAAAAACTGCAAAACCATCATAATTGACTGGTCTTTGCTTCTAGACCCATGTAATTTTCAATGCCGAATTCCATTTTGCTTGCAATGCATCAATATTTCAGTTAGAGGTATTATTAAGAAATACTGCTCACTATTTTGTGGCATTTTTTTAATTAAATTTTGTTCCTGTTTGCTTGATGAAACTGCCTACATCGTTTGGATCAATATGAGTTATAAGATGGTTATTTCTGATTAGAATGCAGATGAGTGATAGCAGTAAGTTAGATGTTGCACTGTAATTTTCTACTGCATCTAGCTACATAAAAACAGAATGGCGAAACAGGGTTCATGTAGCCCACCCCATATAGTTGGATAAGGCTTAGATGATGATGATGATGGTCATGATGCCGATCCAGCTACATTAGAAGGCAACTAGCACGTACTAGCTTCCAATGGAAGGGAACATTGTTGTTCAATCAAGAGCACATGGCTGCAAAAATCATATATAATGTAATAGTTCACAGAGATCGCTTGCAGAATGCTTGATAAGCTGATAAAATCAGGATATACAAGGAGGTGATGATGTTGATTACTCATTTTATTTTAATATATCATCTGTGGTAGAATAACCAGGATCATCAATCTGGGTGGGTCCCACATATGAATGTCTGTGGATCAGGGAAACTTCTACCAAACTGAGCTTGAGAGAAATCAAAACCTGGGTTCTGTGATGAAAATCGAAAATCCAGTCACCAGAAGCAACAAGAAGTCAAAGGCAGTACTCTCAATACAGAACAGAAAAGGAAAAGTACAACCTTTCACAGTTTCTAATAATTATTAATCAAGGGACATGAAGCTGTATTATTTATTATGCATGAGACAGATAAAGAAAATACCAGAACATGAGATTTAGAAACTTGTATTGGAATATGTACTAGGTGAATTCATTCTTTTCTCACACTGTTTTAGTAGAAATAAGAATCTTATATACTATTGTAAGACTTGTAAGAGCTAGAAACTACATCAGAATTTGGGGCCAGCTGCATATATACAAGTTTAATAAAAAACTGCAATGATCTCGCACATAGACACAATGGCTAAGGAATGATGTCTGAATTTTCATGTAATGGTGATACTGGGGCCTTGACAACATGGCTAATAATTTAGGCCCAACTTCCAGCTAGCTGCTCTGGTGGGATGATAATTAGATTAGCTACAATAGATGTATAAATTCTTGCACTGTAAGGATATATGCCACTCTTCTAGGGTGATGTTCAGAGATAAAAAGCACAAGTTTGAATCTAAAAACTTTATGCCATGGTTTTCAAAACTGGACTGGACCGGACGGTCGGACTGGAAAAATCGGGAACCGGTCAGGTGACCTGTTCTGTTTTTCCCCAAAACCGGATTTTTGCCAAAAAATGTTGATTTGGTTAGCACCTGGGCGGTTGAACTGTTCGAACCGTTCAACAGTTTTGACCGTTTTTTATTTTTTTATTTTTTGTCAGAATGGACCAACCGTTCGGTTCGAATGGTCAGACCGCTCAACCCGGGAACCGGACCCCTGACCGGTTCGTTGTCTGGGTCGGTTTTAAAAACCTTGCTTTATGTAGTAATAGGTTGTTTCATTCAAAAAAAAAAACACAATAAAATATCTATAGCTACTCAACCTTGTAAACATAAACTGTCCAAATTGTTTTTAAGGATAACTCAAAACCATAAAGTGGGAGCACCCAACCATTTATATTGAATAAAAGAACTATTGTTCGCTAATGGTGTGCAAATTCATTGCCTTCTTTGATGACATGACAAAACCTGCGCACACAGCCTTCCTAGGTTTTTAGGGTGTCCATCAAAAGTAGAATCCAAGTTTGAATCCATCTCATCCTGCAAAAGGGCATCAATCAACTCTTTACAATCACTTTCGATTTCCACATTCATAATCTTGAGCCTCCTGACAACAAGATGACTTCTTTAATTGCAATTGCTCTAGCTTCATGGGGGCAGTTCAATGTATATTCTTTTTGTATCAATAATGGAACCTTTTATTAATAAAGAAAATAAAGCAAGGTACAACAAGAATCTGGGGGGACTGGGGGAGAGCTAAACTCTCTTAATGCTCCCCAAGAAAAACAAGAAGCAAATTACAACACAGCCCAAAACATTTGCTCCCTTCCCACCCCATGCTTAGCAAGTGTATCCGCAAATGAGTTGGCACCTCTCTTTACCTGTTGGAGATGAATCTCTACACCCAGAGTTAACCATTTGAACTCCCTTTTGTCATTAGCATATTTCCATAGTCCGCTCTTCTCCTTTTGCAACCATTTGATAGCCACTCTTGAGTCTCCTTCTTCAATTAACATTTGTATATTCAATTCCTTAGCTATCTTTGACCCTTTCAATAGTTTGCCATAACCTCAGCTCTAAGAGAATCATCCACCCCAATAGGACCAGAATACAACGCTATAACGTTACCTTCCTTATCTCTAAAAGTTCCTCAAATACCGAAGGCCCCTGATTACATTCACTATTCCCATAAAAGTTTAATTTCATAAATCCAGAAGCTAGTGTAGACCAAAGGGGGCTAGTTATCATTTGGACTGGTGCTGAATTGCCCACTTCCTTTCAATTTCTAACCAACATATCTGTAGTGATATCTTCAAACAGCTCTAGTGATTTTACCCACTGCACCACTCTTATAGTTATTGCTTCAATTATGACCTCTTTACTCCTTTGCTTTTCAGAAAAAAAATCGGTGAGTTCCATTCTTCCCAAATTGTCCAACAAATGGCAGCTTGTACACATCTCCACATTACTCTACCTCTCTTCTTTGACCACCTATGATGGGGAACGGGATCTGCTCCTCACACGGGGACGCCTCACATGCACATCCATCGTGCGTTGGGAACATCTCCCGTTCACGGTAGATGTTCCCAATGCATGGTACGATGTGCATGTGAGGCGCCTGGTGTAAGGAGCAGATCCGGTCTCCTATGATGAACTCTAAGTCGACCGAGCTTCTTCGAGGGAGCTCCTTCCTCCAGAAACAGAATTAAGAGAGAGAGAAAGAAGAGGAAGAGAGAAGGGAATAAGTTGGTTATGCTTTTTCTGAGAATTCGGTTCTACCCGTAGGCCTTATATAGGCTTTCTCACTTATCAGCTCATCATGACCACGAGCTATGCATGCGGGTGGTTATGACGTGGCCTGCGGTTGTAAACAAATCGCAGGGGAGGTTTGTAAAGCCTTGCATGTGCGGCTACTGCTGCTGCATGGGCTTCACGACCTATGTGGGCCTGGCTTTCCTAAACAGTATGGGCCCGGTGATCTGATGGTGGGTTATCCGCCTGGGATCCATCAACCTAACAAAGGAAGAAGCAAACAAACCTTGTATACTTGGTGGGGCATCTGCAACTAAGCAAAGAGAAGAACCAATCTCGAATAACATAAACAAAGGGGTAGGAGATTAATAAGTAATAGAAACTCTCACCATTGGCCAAAGGATACTCAAAACTTCCAAAACTGGAAAGGTTTGTCCACTATTAATAGAGGACAGAACTAGAGCTTTGAAAAAGGAAGCACAAGAGAACTCACTAGAAGAGGTCAAAATCCAAATTCTATTATCTTCCCTCGAGGGATCCAAAACCACCCAACTCAAAATTTGGAGCAAAGTCGAGACATTTTCAGCTTCAGAGCCCCTAAGACCCCTTATGAAGGCCAAGTCTCAATCAAAGTATCAAGCCCATAACTTAACTTAGAAGAGACCAAAAAGGTAGATACAGACTCCTTGGACAAAGAAATGGGAATACAATGAAGGGATTTGTTCTTTCAAAGGCACATCCCCCACCCAACGATGTTCCCAAAATTTCACATAAATTCAAGAGCAAAGGTTATATATGATAAATAGCATGAATGAAGGTAGAATGGCATGAATGGATCTCCATGGAGAAGCTCCTGTAGTCCTTGCCAAGATTCCCACATTCCATCCATTAGCCGCTTGCAAATGATTACTCAAAATTACCTTAGCCCACAATTTATCCCTATCCCTTGCCAGTCTCCACAACCATTTCCTCAATAAGGCCTCATTTCTCTTTTGAATGTTTCCAATGCCTAAATCCACCATCAGTCTTGGTTCTAGTGACCATCTCCTAACTAACGCTATGATCTCTTTCTCTTCCCTGGTTCCCACAAAAAAAAAATCTATCATCAACTTTTCCAATATTCTACTTTTTCTAGGACCCTAAAAATAGATAAAAAATACACAAGCAGGTTGGTCAAAGTAGATTTTATCAGTGTGATTCTACCACCCAAGGATAAACAATTCTTCTTCCATGAAGCTAACCTCTTGGTAAATCAGTCCACCATTGGGTTTCAAAAACAGTTATTTCTCGGATTATCCCCTAGTGGCAGTCCTAGATAATTCAGAGGCCAAAACCACACATCCCAAAATTTCAGCCCTCTTTGTCACCTCCCTCTCATCCATATTAATCCCCACCACACAGCTTTTATCAAAGTTTACTTTCAAGTTTAACATTTTATCAAAAAGCTGAATCACCAACTTCAAGTTCCTAAACCACCTAACATCATCCCCCTCACAGAACAGAATAATATCATCAGCTCAATGCATATTCTTTTCCCTAGCTAACAAAAAGTAAATCACTAGATTCAAGTTTTACTCTGTTAGAGAACCTCTAATTGAAATAAGGCCCAAATATTGACTCATCTTGAAAAAAAATTAGAGTATCTTGAAGCCAATATTTTAATCCAAAAGATGGTCTGCCTGAAGTGGCACCACTGTGAGTATCTCAAATATTGACTCATCTTGAAAAAAAAAATTAGAGTATCTCAAATACTGGTGCATAATCCTGAATGTCTATACCCATTAGCAACCTCAAGGTAGTTTCAGCATTGGAAATGTGGACATATGTGTTCAACTGTGCTTCAAGAATAAATGTCAGCCATAAATCATAAAGTCTTGTATAACCTAGTTACCATTTGGGCACTTGGTATCCATACTAGTCATAGCTATCAAAAAAATCTGGTAGCCAACCGACCAACCTTCACTAAATGCTCATGTAATCAAGCATGTCTATCATTTGTCATTGTCACACCTTGACAACAATGAGTATCTCCATATTCTATTTTTCCCCAGTATAGTGTATCTTCATATTCTTCATCCACTAGCTAAAGCTTCATCATATATGAATTACCTCAGACATGTACCATGGTCCTAGTGTTGGTTGACATGGTCATAATTCTATATGAATGAGCTTAAAATTCTCTAAATCCATATACCATCATTGCCAGTACTAAAACCCTCATTTCCATTTCCTGGTAATGTGCTTAATGGAGATGGCAAAACCATCATCATTGACTGATCTGTGTGCCTGTCCTATACCCATGCAATATTCATTGTGCAGTTCCATATTCCTTACCATACATCAATATTTTCAGTTTAGAAGTTTTATGAAGAAATACAATTCACTATCTGTGGCATTTTAATTAGGAATTAAGTAAACTTCTCCCTCTCCACCATTTCTTATTTACTCATCTTTAGCTATATTGAATAAAATAATATCTTGTGGTCTGCTTTTCCATTAGCTAAGAAGGACAAGCATGTATTAACAAGAGTATAAAATAGCAATGTTGTTATTTTTTTCCTTTTAAAGAACCTATTATGGAGTCACATTTAAGAGAAAAGGCAGCATAATTAGAGGTTACAAACAACCCTCAGGATTTATTGACCTTTCATTTTTTTCTCTTTTTGTGTTGCATCCACATGAAAGGAGCCTTCAAGGTTCAACGCTGGTAATAAGAGTTGTGATGGTAGATCTAACCGGATTACTTGAAAAATACAGCAAGTGGAGAAGAAATGAATGATCACATAGTAACCAAGACCAGAGTAGATGTAAACAATTATTCTGAGAAGTGTCTAGTAGACCTCCTCTTGGAATCTCTGAATCATAAGGCGCTTTTGTTCATGATCTGCCAAGTACAGATCCAACTGGGCCTGAGTCGCCTGACCCAAAATAGGAGAAGACCAAGTCTGGCCTTTGTCTCTCTTCTGAAGGGTTATGTGCATTATACCATCCTCTGATCGATTATAACCAAAAAACATGAGTGAAAGCACAACCGTCATGAAAAGGCATATGTGAAGCAACTGGCTTAGCAGCCTAGGAACAAGAACGAGGAACAAATTACTATATTAAAAGTATTACTTCTATTGATAGTCTATCATAGTAACAAAATGCTCTTCAAACAAGAAAGGAGATATATGAATACCTAGAGTCCAAAATGATGAATTCGTCTTCACAGGGCCTGTGATATCATGCTGAAAACAAAGAAATACAGAAAAAAGAAAACTCAGCTCAGTCTTAACCCCAACTATTTGGGGAAATATAGGAAAAGAATGGTCTGAACAAGTTCTCTATGAACAATGGAAAATAGAGATGATTTTCGATACCAGGGAGGGTTCCCTTTAATCGCAACTTCGACGTGCTTGGACTGTACCTTGCAGTAGAAGAGCTTTTTAGAAACGTTGGGCTGAAGGGTGTGATGTAAATATTAAATTATTAACCTCCGCGAGTGTATTGTCCCATTCAAAGACCTTTTGACCTGAATCACAACAAAATTCTTGCCGATGAGAACACTATGGATGAATCGAGGGAACAAAAACGAGAGGGAGACCGTGGTCAAAAACTGCAGAAAAAGGTGAAGAGAGACAGGGAGATAGAGTATGCCGTGGACGAAACTATGGCGCTTCTCAGGAGCTAACTTCTCCGCCATTTCTAGAGGGCTTCTGCTTTCTCACTTCCGAACGTACAGAGGCAAACTGTGACCGGATCTGCTCCTCTCACAGGCGCCTCACACCGATTTCACGGGCACATCCATCAGGAATGTTTCCGTATTTATACGTTATTATTCACGGAAGATATTCCTAATGTACGGTGAAATGTGCATGTGACGTCAGTATAAGACGCCCAGTGTGAGGAACAGATCCCAATTCGTCAAACATACGATAGCAGTGTGAGGAATTGCACTACTAGCAGCCAAAGCCCAGAGGTCTGTGCGTTGGGATCTCCTCCCAAAAAAATGTCCCAACACTCTTCCAATACTATCCGTGTCCCAACGTCTCGCCAAGTCGCCATGATCTATCCCATGATATAAAATCGGATTTAGTACTTCTCACACTCTGTTCACAGCCACTTGTACTTTTATACCGTAGTCTGCGATGGTATAGTTTTTGTCGTGGAGACCGGATCTGTTCCTCACATCGGCCTCACAGGCACATTCCACCATGCATTTGAAATATCTCCCATAAGATATATATGTGAAATCAGTATGAGGCGCCTTGTGTGAATAGCAGATCCCAACTATTTGTTGTAAGCAGTGAGGAGATCTCATCCCATCTAAACGACCCCTCCATAAATGATAGACTAGCCACGAAAGGGGTGATTGTTTAAAATCAGACCCAGCTCAATTAGAAATTTATGGGCTTGGACTTAGGTTTATGTGTTATTTTATATTATATTATATATTTAGATATATAAATATATAATATAATAATATAATAATATAATATTTATTATATATAATATGAACTTTAAACATGTATATATTATTTTATATTTAAATTCATGGGCCTGCAACCTGATCCATCCCAGCTAGAAGACTTAGATTACAGCTCTCATCAAATGTGCTAAGCCCAGCCCATGATCACCCTACTCGTGATGGCTTGAAGAGGAGATAGTTCAGGTATCATAAGACTATTGATCTCGGCTGTAATGGCTGAACTGAAAAAAAAAATTACATAATAAAATATTCAAATGTATTATAATCAATCCAAAGGTTCAGTTTCAACAACTTTATAATCTTAAGATAAAGTAATAATCATTCATAAATCTGTGTAACAAATTATTAAATCCAATGATAATGTCCTATGCCAGTCATAGATGCTAAGTGAGAGATTGAATGGTGGAACAAATGTATTTTATGACTAGGCATGGGGCATTATCATTGTTTTACAGCCATAAATGCTTGATCCATCAGCCTAAGGTCAGAATTTGTAGGCTCAAAGTGTGGGTTGTTGACCTTTTGAATGTTTATAGCTCTATAATATCAGAAATCTGTATTGGGCAAATCCATATTTCTCAGTAAATGCTATTGCATTTGGTTAATCTGACGTCACCATTCTGTTAAAAATGGTTTTCAAGATTCCTCAAGATCATTGTTATTTTGGGAGAATGGCAATTCAACCCAGGGTCAGAATTTATAGGCTCAAAGTACATTTGGGGTAGGTGCCAACTCGGAATTGATGCCAATTCACGGGGGGGTATGGGTGCATAGAGTGTGGGTTTTTGACCTTTTGAATGTTTATAGCTTTGCAGTGGGAATCAGAAATCTGCATTGGGCCTGTCTGTACTTCTCCGTATTATTTTTGTGGTGATAGAGAGAGAGCGCTTTGCTATTCTCACCACTAACAACAGAGAATAAGAAAATAAGAGGTGGGTGCTATTGAGATCACATTTATGCTCCACTGAACATGCCCCATGAGCGCTCCACAACACATCTCAACCTTGTATTAGGAACATCTCTATTACGGGAGGTGTTCCCAGTGCACGCTGAGATGTGGATGTGGGGCACACTCTGTGAGGCGTAAATGGGAATGGGATCTGCTCCTCACATATGGGTGCCTCACAAGCACATCCACTATGCATTGGGAACATCTCCTGTGAATAATAACTTATAAGTACATGAGATGTTCCTAATGCATGGTAGGATGTGCGTGTGAGGTGCCCTATGTGAGGAGCAGATCCGATCTCGGCGTAAATGTGACCTCTGTGGTGCCATGGCAAAGAAGAAAAAGAAGCCACAATAAGGTTATGCTATTTGACAGAAAAGGAGATAACAAAAGGAGGTCCTCCTCTTGTTTCATGTGGCATGAGCACCTATTATTGTCCATGCGTTTGAAACTCTCGACGGCTAAAACAACAATGGTAATAATGGCCCGTTTGGGAGGTTGAGTTATATTCACCTAAATTGTTTCAGCTAGGGATGCAAACGGATTGGATTCGAATCAGGGGTATATTTGAATCTGATTTGGCATTGTTTATATCGGATCTGATCAGATCTTATAGGACTCGATCTGAATTCGAATCTTATCGGATCTTCGGATCTGATTTGATCCAAATTATTTTTTTTAAAATTAATAAATTATTAAAATAAAAAATAAAATATGTCAATTTAAAAAAAAAAAAGAAAAAACAAAAAATACAAGTATTTTTAAATTATTTTCATCATATATATACATGTTTTTTCTAAAAAAATAATATAACAAATTTATAAAAATACAATATATTTATAAATAAATAAATAACATATATATGTATTATATATTTATATTTATAAATATATAACACATCGGATCGAATCTTTTTGAATCGTACAAGGTTCGAATCCGATTCGATTTCTGATTGGATCATAGGATCCGATCAGGGGTAATTTGAATTCGACCAAATATGATCGGATCTCCAATTGGATCAGATCAATGATCTGATCCATTTGCACCCCTAGCTTTAGTTGTTCTGAAACATTTTTTATGAACTATTGAAAGAGTTTGAACCGAATAGCCCTTCAAATGTTTGACTGACAATTTATTTGGATTTCTCCATTTTTTCAACAAGCATAGCTTATAGGCTGTTTGTGTGGGGCTACCTTGGAAGGCCAGAAGTTGCTACGAATCAGTTGTTTGCCATTCGAAGGGCTATTACGAATCGGTCGTTTGCCATTTGAAGGGCTATTTGCTTCAGTTGCTTTAAATCTCTTATCTAGAGCACTTCAAAACAACTGAGATGAACATTTAATTAAACCCTCTCAAATGGGCCCTAACCCAAACACCATCTAAGTTAGTCACACACACACATATCTAATATATATATATATATATATATATATATATATATATATATGTGTGTGTGTGTGTGTGTTAAAGGAAAGTCTTCAAGCTATAACCCCCACCATTCAGACATGTGGCCTTCTCATTTTTCTAGAAAGCTAGACACGTGACATTTTCTAAGAATTTGTTGCTAAAGCCCACAACCCACTACTACCATTCAGACATGTGGCATCCTATTAATTCAAGAAATAGGATTCAAAAAGTAGACAATTTCACTCCTAAACATTCCCAATAGGCAATTATTTATTAGTTGAACACATGTTTATCCATAGTTTATTAAATACAAATGGTGGGACCCATTAAAAGATTACCATAAATCCATGTTTGTTTTTAAATGATTTTTTTCAAAAAGAAAATACTTTATTAATTACAAACTTGATTTAACTTTTAGGAAGCAACCTAATTTAATTTTAAAAATAAATAACTCAAAATAGATTTATTAGATAAATAGTAAATACCAAATAAAGTGGGTTATTGTTTACCAATAAGATCTCATTTAATATCTTAAATCAAATTAAAAAAATATAAATTAATAGTGGGTTTCAAATAAAATAGGTCATAATAGATTGGAAATTACAAAGATGCAAGACCCATATTAGTTTTTTTTTTAAATTTAATTTTTGATAACTAAATAGTATGCTTCAAACTAAATTATACACATATTTAGTTATCCCATACTTAGTACGTGGGTCATTCTCCTAAAATTTTTCCTAAACAATCTCCTCCACTATCCTCAACTTTCTCCTAAGTTATCTCTAATTCAGTAGAGAGTTTCTCTTCTAAATTATCTCTAATTCTTATTTATCTTCTCCTCCACTTTTTATCTACATTTATCTAAAGAAAGTTTGAATTAAAAAAATTAAGAATTATTTAAATATTATAAAAAATTATATAATAACTTTCAAATATTTATTATAAAGACAAAAATAATTATAATTTATTTAATAATATCCATATTATTAATAATTATATATTTTTACAAAATTCATTATGAAATTATGCACAAATAGTATAAATTATGATTTTCTGGATTATTCAATCTAAATGTTATTCAAATAATAAAAATCTAACTTTAAAAATGAAATATTATTTAAATACATCAATAACTAAATATCTTAAAAACTTACTGAATAACTTTCAATTATAATAAATAGATTAAGATTTTAAATATTTAGTTAGATAACTAAATATTTTAAATAACGAAATATTTAACATAACTAGATTTTAAATAGTTAAAATAACAAAATTATGTATTAATAGTACTATAATTTTATGGATTATTAAATTCAACATGTAATTAATATTTTAAAATTTAAATAACGATATTATTGTAAATAACTAATTTCATTTATACCAATTAATAATTATAGAAAATAACTTTCAAAAAAATTATTTTTTATTAATAATAATTTTAGAAACTTAATCTTTATTTATATATATATATATCTATACTAAAATTAATATTTATTGTATTTCAGTAGTTATTTATTGTTTTTGTGATAAATATTTTTTCAGTAATTATGTATAAAGCTATTTTTATTTGTTATTTAATAGAAAACTTTCAATGATTATTGGAGTTTAAACTACTATTATTTAGTTTTTTAAATTTAATTTATTGTGTATTTTCGCTATAAATTTTTAATAATTATTGGAGATTAAACTATTGTTCACGGGTTGGTTTGGTTCAGTCGTAGGTTATTTGGCCAACCAAATCGACCTGGCTAGGTTGGGGATTTGATCAATTTTTGGTTTGGTCAATTGGTTCATAAGATTTAAACTTAAAAAAAAATAAATTTAAAAATTAAGTTTAATTTTAAAAAATTACAATGGTATTATTAAAAAAAATTTAAAATTAAATTTATGATATAAACTATTTTAGCCTAAGAAATGTTGGAGTTTTTCCACTTTCCCATATTAAAAAAATATATTTAAAATATAATATA